TTAATTGTATAATTGCTTAAATGTAACTTACATTCCTTGTTCTTTCTCTGTTTCTCTGCATTCCTTCCACTTTGTTGCTAATAATAACAGTGCTGAGTGTCTAGTTATCACTCCCTTTTTAGTGAAAACTGAAGCAATTCCTTGCTCTTCTTGATCCCATCAGTTATTAGCTCTCCCCACTGAGAAGAGAACCTACACTTTCCTTTGTCATGCCCCTAGTTTCTTTTAAGAACTTTTTATTGCATTTATATCCCTTTTTGGTGTAACTCCTTGTGTGCATTAGCCATTCTGATTTTTCCCTCTACATGCTTATGCTATGCTTTTGTGTGCCCCCTTAGAAATTCATCCATGTTTCCACTCTTTGTAGGGTTTCTTTTTGATTTTCAGGTAATTAAATAGCTCCTGGTGGAGCCATATGGGCCTCTTACTATTCTTCCTATCTCTCTTTAGGTATGGCTACACTAACCACCCTAGTTCGAAGTAGGGTGGCTAATGTAGTCATTCAAACTTGCAAATGAAGCCCGGGACTTAAATATCCCGGGCTTCATTTGCACGTTCCCTATCTCTCTTTAGGTATGGCTACACTAACCACCCTAGTTCGAAGTAGGGTGGCTAATGTAGTCATTCAAACTTGCAAATGAAGCCCGGGACTTAAATATCCCGGGCTTCATTTGCACCCAGTAGCTCGAGCTACCTGCCCGCGGCAACACGCAGCACGGGCTAGGTAGTTGGAATTAACACTCTTAATTCGAACTACCATTACTCCTCCTGCAATGAGGAGTAACAGTAGTTCGAATTAAAAGTGTTAATTCGAACTACCTAGCCCATGCTGCGTGTAGCCGCGGGCAGGTAGCTCGAGCTACTGGGCATTTAAAAATGGCGGCGCCCGAGAATGTGCAAATGAAGCCCGGGATATTTAAATCCCGGGCTTCATTTGCAAGTTTGAATGACTACATTAGCCACCCTAGTTCGAACTAGGGTGGTGAGTGTAGCCATACCCTTTCTCATCAGGTTAGTTTGTAGTTAGTGCCTTTAATTTTGGATCTGGTAAGAAGTTGGGGTGCTGGAGAGGTAGGGTTGCCAACTCTAACTGAAGCTATTCCAGGAATTTCCCCAACCTCCCCAAAACAACAAAGTCATATTCTTAACATAGCTATTAAAATTGCCAAGGTTTATTCCAGCAGTCGCCAGAAGCTCCTGCACTGGCTTGCTGTGCTTACCTGAGGCGCCTCCTCTTCAGTGGCACAGCAGTGCCAAGGTGGTATCCCTACCTGGTTTGGCCCCGTGCCACTCCTAGAAGTAGCTCATATGCTAGCCCCTAACCTGAGGGACTAGTCAGCTCTGTATGTTGCACACTGCCCGCGCCCCACCGGCTCTGCTTCCGTGCCCGCGCCCCACCGGCTCTGCTCCCGTGCCTGCGCTCCACCGGCTCTGCGGTGGTTCCCAGCCAATGGGAACTGTGGAGCTGGGACTGGGGACGTGCAGCAATGGAGAGCTTCCCTCATCTCCCCTATGCCTAGGGACATCAGGGATATACTGGGGCTTCTGGCCAACAGCATGGAGATTTGCCGCAGGCCAGATGAAATTAAGCAGTGGGCCAGGTCTGGTCAGCAGGCTAGAGATTCCCTACCCGCTCCCCCATCTTAAAATCATTAAATCTGTAATTTCATGATCATTTTCACTCAGCCTCAGATTTTCAAGCAGTTCTCTATGTTGGTCGGAATCAAATCTAAAATGGTTTCTCCCTTCCCCCCGGGATGTTTTCTTTTTGAAACAAAATGTCCTCAGTACATTCCAGGAATTTGTTAGAAATTGTGTCTTTCTTTTACGACAGATGATATATTTTGGATATTTCAGTTGTGTGTTCTAGAAATACTTCCTTTACCTCCTCTTCCTGATTTGATGGTCTATAATCAACCCCCTATCATGACATTATCCCTAGTTTTTACTCCTTTTATCTTTATCCAAAGACTTTCCACCTGACTGGCTCTCATGTTGTTCAGAATTTGTCTATATAGTCTCACTGTACATTGCAAAACCTTCACCCTTTTTATCCTGCCTGTTCATCCTGAACAAGCTATACCTCCTAATATGAACATTCCAGTCATGAGCCTTATTGCAGTTCTGTTGCCCATTACAGTTGTGCCTGGGAAACATATGCAGTCCTGAAGAAGAGCTCTATGTAAGCTCACAAGCTTGTCTCAACAACAGAAGTTGGTCCAATAAAAGATATCACCTCACCCACCATATTTCTCTAATATCCAGGACCTGCACTGCTTACAACAGCATTGCTAATATATGATAATCTTTGTGATGCTTCAGGGTGACACTGGAAAAATGTTCTTGGAATTGATTGACACTTACAGAGTATTCAGTAAAGGTTATAGGCAGGGCTCGCTGAACCGCACTGTCCAGTGATCTGCGCATGTGCAGATTTTCCAAACCCAGCTCTTCCGGGTTACAATCTACTCACCACGGGTGAGTAGATTGTATAATTTGTCGAGCCCTGGTTATAGGTTATCGCCTTGATCTGCTTGGGAAATAATTTTACTCCAAATGCAGCTGAAGCTTCAAAATCTAAAAGGCCTTCATTTTCAGGACCATCAAATTATTTTTCTGTCAGATCAAAAGGGCAGCTTTTCTCTCTAAAAACGTTAACGAAGCTACCTGGAGCTCACACATGTGGATTTTTCTTTTAATCTTTCCTCCTCTCCATTCAGAAAATCCCTGACCTTGCAGCCCCTCTTCTGTGCCTCTTTTTTTAGATTAACCCAAAGACTTGCACTTGTCATACTGCCAAAGATAAAATAAAAACAGGTATTTGGCTCATTTTTACTTCCCATCATCAGAAAAGGTGCTGAGGGGATAGTTTTAAAGAAGAGTAAAAAGGGATGCTTTCAGACATGAACTGCCTGCTCAGGAAATGGGAAGTGTGGATCCGAAAAACACATGGGGTCCATTATTGCATCACTTTACATCTGCTAACTCTTGTTAAGGGCATCTGGAGGTTTGTACTAGGGATGTTAAATATTGGTTAATTGAATAGTTGATTCATGTCATGAATTCATATTGGTTAGATGACTGCTCTATAGTCTCTGTGCAGTCCCTGTCCGAGGGAGAGGGGTCTGAGCTCACAGACCCAGCTCAAGCCAAAACTGAGCCGGGCTGCCTGTCCGCCTAGCTCCTAATACACTCTAAATGCAGAGCCGCAGCTGGGGTAGATCCAGGACACAGTGCAAGCCAGGACTGAGCTGGGCTGCTGACCAGCCTGCTAAAAAAATGTACTGGCAAGGGGCGAGGGGGAAATGTGTGTAGCTATAGTATTAAACTATAAGCTTTTGCTTATCCGTTAATTGGTTAATCAACTATACTATTACATTCTAGTTTGTACAGGCATCAGGGCAATGCATGCCTCTAGGAAGGAAGGAAGAAGGAAAGAACACTTCAGATGGGATCACACATTTTTGTTCTATAAAGGTTCCACTGACTAGATATGGATGGGATGGAGGACACCAACAAAACTATGTGGGCTTGCAATGTTGAAAGATGTCAAAATAGACTCATGGGAGAACATTATTGGCTCACAGTTTAATTCTGTATTTTTAAATTGTGCACAAGTGCATGATGTGTCTACACCTGAGATGTCTTCTGATTTAAAGAGATACTGGAGATGAGAGAGACTGATCGGATCTGTAAGTCCCACCAGTGTAAGATAGTGTGCCAGGAAGAGCAGTTAGATATACAAAATCTTTCTTGAAGGAACAGTTTTCTTTTACTTCCTCTTTTTAATCTTTTTGGTGCCTTTCTTTTTACCAGTGGAAAAAGTGCTAACCTTTTTTATATTATTTTTACCTGCATTTGAAATTGCATTCAGACCATGTAGCTGAATTGGCGGCAGTAGCAGCTTTTGCAGAAAAATGAATTTGTATTTGAATTGGTGAAAGCAAAGTCTTTTATGGGTAACATAAAGAGATAACATAAAACTTTTAGCTGTTTTTGATATTCTGTAAAAGCTTTCATAGAAATCAAGGATATTATGAGGATATTATGAGTAGGGCCCTACCAAATTCAGTCATGAAAAACACATCATGGACCTTGAAATCTGGTCTTCAACCCCCAGACCCGTATGAAATCTGGTCTTTTGCATGCTTTTACCCTACACTATACAGATTTCACAGAAGACACCAGCATTTCTTAAATTGGTGGTTCTGACTTAAAAGGAAGTTGTTGGGGGGTTAGTAAAATGGCCCTTGTGATCTATCAGCACCTGAAACGCCATTGAGGAGTATCCCTTTCAGCTTATGCACTCTTTGGCAAAGTGTTTGGGTGTCAAGATAGGGCTGTTCCTTCCATCTATCACTAGAGCCCTGCACGGATACAAAATTTGTATCTCCGTTTGTACCAAAAAAACGAGCTGCGTGTTACTGCGTCCATATTCATGGATATCTGTGGCTATCCAGATCCGTGGATGTAAAATGGATATTTGCAGGGTTCTAGATGCAAAATTTGTATCCACATCTGTATCTGCAAAATTGAGCCATAGATACCCACATCCACATCCATGGATCTGGATACCTCTGGATATTCGTGGATTTGCAGGGCTCTGTGTCTCACCCCGCCACAGTTAGGAAACGTCATCATAGGAAAGCCCTCCACATTGTCCTTCACATTTCCCAGAGTCAGACCCTCTGTAGCAGAAAGGTCATGACAGCCCTCACTGTAGGTTTTGCCACTTTGGATTGATTCCCAACTGACCGGTAGCTGTCTGGCTTTGCAGTCTTCCATAGGACAGTAGCCACTCACTTCTCCACTCTCAGAGCAGGTCTCAGTATGTAGCCTTGTGCTTCAGGGCAGGGGAAAGCAATTTTCAAACTTCTGTGGAAGTGGCCTTACGCATGTGGAAATTTTGCAGCCACTGCTGATCATCCCATGCCTGCATAACTATATGGTCCCATCAGTCTGTGCTTCCACTGTGTTCCACTGTGTCCAGAGGATAGAATGCTGGTGGCATTTGCCAGTGACTCAACTCAAGTGCTTCACAAAAGGGTATGTTCATCGCCTCCCAAGATTCTTCCTCATTCTGGCGGACCCTGGATATACTCCAGGATAAGGTTCACCACACTTAATACGATTGCTGTAATGCTTTGATGCTCAACAGGATCCACAATGGGTTCCATGCTTACGTTGCTATGGCATCTGCGTGGATAACCAGGGGGAAAAAGGGCGTGAAGTGACTGTTTGCCATTGCTTTCAAGCGAGGGCAAGGGAGGAGATGAGTGCATTATGGGACGCTGATAACGTATCCAGAACCACCCACTGCACAGTGTTGGTCCTTGCATGTACTGGGAGCATAATCCAGAATACAAAGGGGTGCAGGAATTGTGGGATAGCTACTCACAGTGCATCATTGTCAAAACTGATGCGCCACCCGCCTGAGGATGCGCTGCTTTGAACTGCGTCGAATTCTTGCGCACAGTGGGGACATGCACCTTTGACTTTAAAAAATCGGGTGCTGAAAAAAATCAAGCGTAATAAATTCAACCTTAACTCATAGTGTGACCCACTGCTTTCTGCATTCGGGAAGGACTCTGCACAGTGTATTTGTGACCTATTTAGAGGCATTGGTAGAAGAAGAAGGGTTCTTGATTCAAGAATTCTGTACATTGAAACATCCACAGGGGTGAAGGAGAGGAAGACTAGCTGCTCTTCCTCTGTTTATGTACAAACATGTGGTACGCACATACCCAGACTACTGCAGATACTTTCTACCTTCAGACTGTTGGATCGGTAACAGTGACATGGCTTTCTGTTTTATTTCAACAGAATTCTAGAGCAAAGATTGGCATGTTACCATGGAAGGACAGCATAACCATCCACATCATCTAGGGGACCAGAACAACCCTCTTTGCAAAGTACCGGGGCCGGAATATCAGCATGATCCTCAAGTAAGCACATTTATTCCTTTAATCTCTCCCTTTTTCTTTTTAAAGACCTCTAGAGTCCCTTTTATAACTGTCTTTTTAATGTTAACAGTGTTGTAGTCTTTAAGGTGTAAAACATTTTGGACCTAAGCATCCTGACAGTGTTGCTTCAGACCCATTTTTGATGATTACAGGAGAAATATTTTCAATGGTCAAATAGCAAGCGTTTTTTGAAATTAGCTATTAAAAAGCGTGTACTGGTTGAATACTGACTTTCTATGCTTCTGTGATTCCTTAAAAGGAGGCCAAAGAAAAGACGTTGTTTGAATTGTAATGATAAATATATTCTTTATTTATCTCATTGCATATTTTAATAATGCATATTTTAGTGATATTTACCAAATACAAGAAACAGGTCACTTCAGAAGAAATTGTATGTTCTCTTTCTGTCTTCTGAGCCTCTAGGAGCAGTATTCCTTGATATTTTTTTTTTGTCTGTACAAATATATTTCTTTGTACAATGCTCTCTTGTAACTGACAATCCACCAAAGGGGTAGGAGATAAAGATATCATTAGGTCTTATTTCCAGACTAACTGCAGATTTACAGTTTAACCAGGAGATTATTTTTAAAGCTCTGTGCGGATCTGCATCAGTATCTGCAAAAATGAACAATGGATATCTGCAGATTTGCAATGTTCTAAAGTTTGTATCTGCATCCATATCCATAGCTGCAAAAATGAGCTGTGGATATCAGCATCTGTGTCTGTGGATACCCATGGATATAAAGTGGACATCTGCAGATTTGTAGGGCTCTAATTATTTTTGTTGGAATGGCTTGGGGCTACCTCCCTCCTTGGACGGTGTTTTAAGGCTGCAGATATTATTACCCACTGAGTACCTGCTGCGGTTAACAAAAATCTGTTAAAGTTAGAGAAGAGGGTAAAAGTCTTGCCGGGAATTGTAGATGTTAATTTGCCACTTTAAGTATTGGGTCCAGTGGTGTTTTGAGGTTCCTTGGATAGGAATGATTAATTAGGAAAGCAATAGCAAAACATAGATACAAGATTCCAAAAGCAATGGGTTGCCTGCATACACATATGACAACAGTGAATGTGCTTTGTGCAGTGCTGCTTTGAAAATATATTCTATGGCTCACAGCCCCCTTCTCCTAATGCAGCAATTTGTCATATTAAGTCATTTAATAACAATTGAATCCCCTTGATTAATCTCCTAGAATTAGCCAGTTGCATTTTGAGCAATTAGGGTTAATTACTGCCTCATTTGGCAGGGTAGAACCCCTGTAATTATTTCGTGAACAAGATTAGGAAGTGTTCTTAAGCAGCAGATACATTCATGGCATTGTGGAGCACATGTTCGAATTTGTAATGACATAGTTAAGTGTAATTAGTAGGTAATACTCTTATGTTCCGCAGTTACCCTGACGCTGAGCAACCTTATTTCATGGAATGGTCATTGTTCAGTGAGGATTCTTCTCTCTCCTGTTAGAATCTAAATTATATCAGTGGAGGTGTCTGAGTGTGTCAACTGTTCGGATTGGAAATTGGGGGTGGGATTAAGAACTCTTCCATCTTTGCTTCCTTTTTTTAAGCCCTGATGCTGAATAAACCAGAGAAACAGAGTTACAGAGAAGGCGAAATGTTAGTTTTTAAAGTAAATTATATTGTAATAAGAAACAGAATATAACTTCCATGTGTGTCATGGTGATGATGGTTTTAAGCACTATATCTGGTTTTTCACTTGGCATAAATGTAATTAGAGAACTTCTTAATTTTGTGGTGCTTCTATGTGAAAGGATCTCAAACTACATAATTTCTGTACCATTAAATGCAGCAATCCTGGTCTTTGAGTATGTTAGTAATGCTAGCATACTGCCCTGTAGTTAGGGGTAGAAGAGGGGGAAATGTTGGTTCATGAAAAGCATCATGCCCCGTGGGGTCTTCATTGTTTCTGCAGAGCATGCAGTGTGTTGTCTTTTAAAGTCTCAGTGAAAAAAAATGGGGGTAGAGAGGAAATTGAGAGAATAAATTAATTGGAATGGTTTTTTTCAGTCAAGGTTATGCACTCAGCTGCAGAAGGGCCAGGGTTGGAATATAGTCCTGCCCCAAAGGTTTTTCCGAACAATAGTTTTCACTCTTAAATTGAAAAATGCTTTTAGCAGTTTGCATTTTACAATTTCAAACGCATCACAAAGGGTATTATCTCCATTATGTGGGTGGCAAAGTGGAGGCAGTGGGTGACTTAATGTAGCATAACAGGTCATATCCACGGTAGAGCTGGAAATAGACCCCAACCCCTTCTCTAGCTACTAGACAACACTTCCATAATAAGACTATATGTTTTTATGCCGTGCCCTTCTATAGCTAGTGCCACCGTTAAAGCAGTTCTGCACAGGTGGGAAGATGGTATTTGCTTCTCTTAATGCTGTGTGAGTTGCTAGTACCAGCATAGCTTCTCCGTTGTAGTCTGATCTTTGCTGCTGCTTGTCCTTTGTATAGTTCATATTCTGGAGCTATCCCCATATTGACGGGTACACGTCACCTCAGCATGAGATGTAGAGAAAAAATTTCTTGATACCTTAAACAACTGTATCTTGGAGCAGCTGGTACAGGAACCCACAAGGGGAGTGGCAATTCTCGAGTTAGTCCTGAGTGGCGCACAGGATCTGGTCCAAGAGGTAACTATAACAATACCACTTGGAAAGGGTGAACATAATATAATAACATTTAACATTCCTGTGGTGAGAAGAACACTTCAGCAGCCCAACACTGTGGCATTTAATTTCAAAAAGGGGAACTATTCAAAAATGAGGTTAGTTAAACAGAAATTAAAAGGTACAATGACTAAAGTAAAACTCCTGCAAGCTGCATGGACACTTTTCAAAGACAGCATAATAGAGGCCCAACTTAAATGTATACCCCAAATTAAAAAACATAATACAAGAACTAAAAAAGAGCCACCGTGGCTTAACAACCATGTAAAAGAAGCAGTGAAAGATAAAAAGATACCTTTTCAAAACTGGAAGTCACATCCTAGTGAGGTAAATAGAAAGGAGCATAAACATTGCCAAATTAAGTGTAAAAATGTAATAAGAAAAGCCAAAAAGGAGTTTGAAGAACAGCTAGCCAAAAACTCAAAAGGTAATAACAAAATGTTTTTTAAGTACATCAGAAGCAGGAAGCATGCTAAACAACCAGTGGGGCCCCTGGACAATCAAGATACAAATGGAGTACTTAAAGATGATAAAGTCATTGCAGAGAAACTAAATGAATTATTTGCTTCAGTCTTCACGGCTGAGGATGTTAGGGAGATTCCCAAACCTGACCCGTCCTTTGTAGGTGACAAATCTGAGGACTTGTCACAGATTGAAGTGTCATTAGAGGAGGTTTTGGAATTAATTGATAAACTTAACAGTAACGAGTCACCGGGACCAGATGGCATTCACCCAAGAGTTGTGAAAGAACTCAAATGTGAAATTGCGGAACTATTAACTCTGGTTTGTAAGTTTTCCTTTAAATCAGCTTCTGTACCCTTATGACTGGAAGATAGCTAATGTAACGCCAATATTTAAAAAGGGCTCTAAAAGCTATCCCGCCAATTACAGACCGGTAAGTCTAACATCAGTACCGGGCAAATTAGTTGAAACAATAGTAAAGAATAAAATTGTCAGACACATAGAAGAACATAATTATTGGGCAAAAGTCAACATGGTTTCTGTAAAGGGAAATCATGTATTACTAATCGATTAGAGTTCTTTGAAGGGGTCAACAAACATGTGGACAAGGGGGATCCAGTAGATATAGTGTACTTTGATTTCGAAAAACCTTTGACAAGATCCCTCACCAAAGACTCTTATATAAATTAAGTTGTCATGGGATAAGAGGGAAGATTCTTTCATGGACTGAGAACTGGTTAAAAGACAGGAAACAAAGGGTCGGAATAAACAGTAAATTTTCAGACTGGAGAGGGGTAACTAGTGGTGTTCCCCAAGGGTCAGCCCTCGGACCAATCCTATTCAACTTATTCATAAATGATTTGGAAAAAGGGTTAACTAGTGAGGTGGCAAAGTTTGCAGACGATACTAAACTGCTCAAGGTAGTTAAGACCAAAGCAGACTGTGAAGAACTTCAAAAAGATCTTACCAAACTAAGTGACTGGGAAACAAAATGGCAAATGAAATTTAATGTGGATAAATGTAAAGTAATGCACATTGGGAAAAATAACCGCCGTGGATGGTTCTCTGAAGACGTCCACGCAGTGTGCAGCGGCAGTCAAAAAAGCAAACAGGATGTTAGGAATCATTAAAAAAGGGATAAAGAATAAGACAGAGAATATTTTATTGCCCTTATATAAATCCATGGTATGCCCACATCTTGAATACTGCATACAGAGGTGGTCTCTGGCATTAGAAAAGGTTCAGAGAAGGGCAACTAAAATGATTAGGGGTTTGGAACGGGTCGACTATGAGGAGAGATTAAAGAGACTGGTACTTTTCAGCGTGGAAAAGAGGAGACTAAGGTGGGATATGAGAGAGGTATATAAAATCATCAGTGGTGTTGAGAAAGTGAATAAGGAAATGTTTTTTACTTGTTCTCATAATATAAGAACTAGGGACCACCAAATGAAACTAATGGGCAGCAGGTTTAAAACAAATAAAAGGAAGTTCTTCTTCACACAGCGCATTGTCAATCTGTGGAACTCCTTGCCTGAGGAGGTTGTGAAGACTAGGACTATAACAGGGTTTAAAAGAGAACTAGATACATTCATGGAGGTTAAGTCCATTCAAAGCTATTAGCCAGTATGGGTAAGGAATGGTGTCCCTAGCCTCTGTTTGTCAGAGGGTGGAGATGGA